CAATATCAAAGATGAATACTAAAATGGAAATGTCATAGTGATGTAATAAATAATAATGTTGACCATCATTATTATACTGTGAATTATTGATTAGTGATTATCAATCACTGAGCAATGTAATTAATTTATATTAATTCTATTATAATGATCATTAACTTATAATTATTCAACAAGCGTAATTTTAGAAGGAAATTCTGAATGATTAATGTTAACTGTTAATTGCAATATTTAAAATAATTCCATTAAAAATAAATATATTAAATTAAATACATTTATTTTAGACATAGATATAAAAATTTTAATTTTTATATTACTTTTTAGTTAGAAAAAAAAACATAAATGTAATTAAATATGTTTTAGAAGTTATAAAGTTCAATTCGAATATATTCGTTGATATTAGATATTAGTAAAAGACGGATGTTCATGTATTAGCATATTTTTTTCCTTTAATTATAAAAGGTGCAGAGTAGGATAGATTTTGTTTTGTGACCTAAAGAATATGAAAGTAAAATTGTTATGTTACATATATTTGCATATTTCGATCTATTTTTTTTTTCAGAGCATATTTATATTTTATTAGTGCATAGTATACATATTTGGTATAAATAGATTTTACTGAATATTTAACATTGAATTATTGTCGATTTTGATTGCTATTTTTGAAATTATATCTTTATCGATAAAAATAAAATGTACAACAACTTCTATACTAACTAAAAAAAGGTACTTCTGTTATCACGTGAATTTATAAAAACAGTGACGTCATATTCTTGGTTGACACAAAAAATTATTTTTCGCCACATTTTGTTTGATATATTTTCAGTTTTGTACATTTTACTATATTATGTACATATTTAATAATTTTAATAAATATTTTTGTAATTGTAATATTTTATTATATAACTATTAAATTATGCCAGTGTCTTGTGTAGATTACGGATGTTCCAATATTTTTTTTATGGGCGAGATTGACCAATTCAGTAATATTAAGAATAATATTATTTATTTCATTACTGGTTTTATTGTAAGAAAATGACTTAAAATGATTGTACATCATGTATAGACAATCATATATAACTATCAAGTGAACTTAACTATAGTCATAAATATTTCTTTTCCATATTAACTGATGTAAAAAATATAGGAGGATTATTAAAGAGTTCGAATAGTGTTTTGAAATTAGTTAAATACATTGAATATTTGTTAATCAAACTAACATGCTATTTTACTTATAATCTATTAGTTTATCTATAAAAATAATAATCACAGCAAAAAGTTATGATTTTATTTAAATATTTTACAAAATATAACGTTTTCCTAAAATTAATTTTACAAAATCATAGGTTAGATTTAGTAGCACTAATTTGTAAAAAATATTTAAAAATACAACTAAATCATGTTGCTAAACCAAAAAATTAAAATTATTGTTAGTAAACGACATCAATTAACCAAATTAGTTTTATTTAATACTATGTGATAGGTACTGTATGTTTATATTTTTAACTAATTTAATAAAAATGTTTTTTTGCCCACCGAAACATGATGGATGTGTGATAAGGGCACTCCCGCCAACGAGCTCTTTAGAGACAACACAAGAGCAAATTTTTAATAAATTATTTCATCGTATTTCTTATCAATTATCAAAATATTATAATCGTTTTAATACCAAAATGGTTTTTGAAATTTTAAATAGTTATAATATGCAACGTTTAATATAAAAAACAGATAATCGATGACTTATAAGACAAAGAGGAGTCTCCTTATGTACATGTTGATTCACATTTTGACTGTGCATATGAACAAATAACAAATTATAATTAGTCATTAACTTGCCTTGTAATTTAATTATTTATTATTATAATTCTTATTCTCCTTCGGCTTCCTTTGTAATTTGATTATTTATTAATTAATTATTTTTTTTTTTTTGTACACGAATTATAAGGTAATAACGAACATGTACAAGGCTGTATCTAGAAATTTTTTTCGGGAGGTGCCTTAAACATGTATATTGTAATTTTATTGAATTTAGATTTTAACTTTTTTTATTTGGTTAAAAATAAGACAGAAAAAGATTTAATCTTCTTTTATTAAAATTAATATCATATTTTCATATGATATTATGATATAAAATTAAAAGCAATCAATGATTAAACATCAAGGATTCGGTTCGGTTCGGTTCGAGATTCGAAAAGTTTGACCCATCACTAATTGTCATTTATATAAATAAATATTGAGCTTGATTACACATTTTTCATGTACATTTCTATTATTTTTATATACAAACGTAGTTCTATTAGATTACAAGCACTTTATTTATCGCTCGCATAGTATTACATTTAGTAATCCTGTTGATAATATGATATAGACTATACATATAAAAGTTGTGGAATTCATTATTTTTCCAAGATTAGGCATAGATTACAAGATATTGTACGCATAAAACATAAATAATTTATATGTTTTTATGTTAGATTAAAAATAAAAAATTTCTTGAAAAGAAGGTGGTAGCTTTAACAAGGTAGAAAACTCTCAAATAGCATAAACGATAGTAATGCGAAGCTAAGTAAAATGAAAGCGGAACGTGACGATCGTTGAACTATATATGTTTACCCATACGAAATCATTTGTTCCTATTTAAACCATGTAAAGTTTCACTATGTATACTATTGGTATATTGGGATACGACTATAAAAGTATATAGAATTTCTGTAGTCTGAGAGATTTTTCTAAATAAAAAGAACGATCGGGTGTAAAAAAAAGGTGGCGCGTGAAAATGTCGACCACAACCGCAATCAGCGACGTACCGTTTAGCCAATAGTCTGAACCCCCAAAAAGGAGCTATCCGATTTGAAGTATTATAAATAGGTGTTTACGAGACAACCTAATTTCTATTTAACATTTAATTTAGAAAAAATAGCACATCTGAAAACAATGAATGCGTTGTTAAAACCATATAAATTCGTTCGATTATTAAGTATTAAAGTACTATCGAGAACCTGAAATTGTAAAAAACAATATCGATGTGCGCTATTATTGATATAATTTGAAAAGACTTACATAAATATGTATATTGTTTTTAAATTAAAAAAAAAAAAGGAATACGCAATTTGTATTGTAATTTTTCACTTCCTTTACAACGATCGGTCTGGCGGGAAAAGATTGACGGAATCGAAATCATTAATGAAAATCGGTAGAGTTGGTTGGCAGAGTGACAAAGCTGATGCGTGAGATATACATATGTATGTGAAGTGGCGCCAAACACGTACTTTTATAGGGCAGTTCGCCTCTTCATTTAACTATGGTGATGGGTGTCTGATGTTTGGGTGGGTGTAGGGTGGGTTGGGTGGATAAATTTACACCCTAGTTAGTAAATCTTAAGAATGTACAAATTAAATGACAGTGAATCTGTAGATGGTAGGATACTATGATGCGATAGAACAATTCGCCTATCAATGCATGTCTTTATACCATATCAAGTAGCCGTAGATCTATTTCGCACACATGATAAAGCTAAACGCCTCTCGGTTCTCAGTATTTAAAAGTGATTATACAGCATGTAAATACATCTTTTAAATATTTTAGGATAGTTACTTAAATTACCAATAGCCCCGTGAAACATTTTTAAACATCTATTTTTAAATTACAGTTGTTTAAAAAATGAAATAAAGTGTTTTTTTTGTTTTACATTTCTTAAATTTTAATAACGTATTTAATATTTAAATAATTTAACCTATTTTTATATACGCTTCAAATTGATATTAAGTGTTTCTTTCTAAAATCACTATGAAGTAGATAAGCTTTATTATTATTATGTGCTGTTTTAAGCGGCACATTTAACAATAAATACAATCGTATTCTAAAATAGACTTAATAGTGCGGGCTGTCAGTTATAACCCCTTAACCTCTCCCTGGATACGCCACTGCTGAATAGTACCAATCTAATAGATGAAATTGCATTGATAAATTGCGAGTGAAGCGACTTTATGATGATTAAATTTACAATATAATCATTCAATCATGTAACCTGTTATTATTTTGCTCTAACTTTTTGGGAGATGGTATTAAAAAATTTTTATACTTTGCCTCACCAAATAAAATACAAGTCGGCGCTACTGCGTATGTATACCTACGAGCCATAGGCGGACATTTGGTTGAATTTTTGGGGAGGCTATAATAATACAATGTAAAATAACTTGTAGGGACTTCGCCCTCACACCCCCTTTCAATGCACAAGTAAAACTCATTACTATTAAAAATTTAGTTATGTTTAAATTGTATTAAAAAAAACTCTAAATAACGTATATTTAAAAATAATTAATATTTTATTTTAATGACATATCTATTTGTATCATATTCAAGATATCATCGCTTTTTATATTTTTCGATATATCTTTTTCGATGTATAGTATTGAAAGATCGCTGAATCATCTTGAACCAACAATTTTATACATTGCACTAAAACTTCTTTCGCAAGTAGCTGAACTAATTGGTATTGTTATGGTATTGTAAATAGTTTTTATTATTTCTTATTTTACGATTTTCAAAAAGACGAACAGATAATTATAAAAAAACGGAATAACATTTCTAAAAAAGTTTCGATTTTGGAGGGGGCTAAGCCACCCCCCTCCTACCTCTCGATGTCCGCCTATACTACGAGCGTAATTTCTCTTAGACCTTTAGAGGTGTACAAACATTTGTTAATATACTTTTTACCGCACGCACGCTCCCGTTTTCTTCGCCCGTGTGGCAGCCCAATCGCCGCCGTCGCCTTGCCGCACACCACCACCACCACCACCGAGTTTTTGAAACGAAACGTCTCTGTCGCCGTGTGTGAGACACATCGCACGCGCGTCTCGGCGCCGCCGTCAGTACCAGTTACAGGTTTGCGTGTGCGACCGAAATATTATTATTATTACCGTTATTATTATCATTATTGTTATTATTATCGCACACAAACGTTTTATCGATCGGGTGAGTTTTATTTTGTATTTTTTTTTCAGTTACGAAATTTCACGCTCGATCGCTTACTCTCTTCGTCCAAGGTGTACACAGCACCGGCACTCGTCGTACGTTCGGGCCCGCTCGCCGTCGCGCCAATTCTGTTCCGCCGAATCGTCAAACGTTCCGAACGTCGTCGCGCCGTTGGTAAATTTAGACGTGCGCACGTTGCCCGTACCGGCGTTATTGTACGTGACCGCGGTGGACCAGCAGCAGGACGGCAGCATGGACGCGTGTTTTAGCGCCTTCGACAAGGACGGGTAATGTCATCGTTTTTTTATTTGTATCATAAGGCCGTTTTCACCAATACTATCGTCGACGGTCGTAACTGACTGTCGGCGCAGCCAAGCTTTCCACAACCGTCAAGTTGTCTTACCGTTGTTGGTTTTTCCGTTTTTTTTTTTTTTTTTTTTTTTACTATCGAATTTTTTTTTTTTTTTTTTTTACATCACTGTTTGCACGGTTTCGGACTAACCGTATGGACATCGCGGTGTAATCATACTTGATCACTTGTCGAAATAACACAAACCCATATTTAAAAATAATGTTTTTCAAATATTGTGTGTATGTGCACACGTGCAAAGAACTAGTTCGACGACCGAAGACTCCCCTTACTCCTGGCTACGTTTTTGTTATCGTTGCTATCGCACCGTGGGGGAGAAACTCGAGTGTTTGACAATAATGATTTTACCTGAAAAAGTCCCCGTTAGAGCACTAACATTGATGGTTTAAAAATCCCCGTAGACCGAATAACAAAAATCAAAAATTTTTTTCTTAATTTGTTCTACTACTAGTACTATGTGATACAGTAGAACTCCGATTATCCGGACTAATAAATATCCGAATGATTGACGTATAAGATATCAAAAGTTATACAATTGTATGGATATATTGTATGGATGTATTTATGTGTAATATTATTTGAAATTTATAACAATAAACAAATAATTTTATTATAATATTTAACTGAAAAACAATAAGCTATATATACTATAACATGTTTAAAACAAAAAGCTAATTTGGCACATTCTTTATTGTATTATGAAAAAAAATGATATTTTAATTTTTTCGTAGTTTACTTTCTCTTTTGAAAAGCTATGCCTCTCAATCTTCTTAATTACAACAATTAAGTAGTGTTCGATTTTTCTTGCCACTTAAATCTTTTAACACCAAATCTAACGTATTAAAAGCTTTAGAATGAGACGGCCTATTTTCACCTTCAATCAAATCGTCAGTTTCATTTTCCTCTCTCTTAGTACTATTTTCTTTAAATAAGCTACAATCTATTTCAACATCTAAAAGTATATTTAATATCTAGGATAATTTATGTCCATAAGCAACCACTCAATTATATTATATTCATCAAAATCATCAAATACGTGAACTTGGATTATACACTCTTATACGTCATCCATTTCAACATTTAATTCCACGTTTTGGATTTCCTCAGCTTGTTTCAGTAACTTTTTCCATGACCTTGCTAAAGTTCAATTTTATACACATTTCCATGCTTTAACTTGCAGTCCGATTTACGCCCGGTTGATTAACGTTCATATAATCAGAGTTCTTTTACTGTGTATATATATACAAGGGCGGATTTATAAAGGTGCACATGGCGATCGTCCCCTTTTGGGATTTTTTTTATTATAGATATAATATAAATATTATTTCTATTCGCCCTCGCTAAATATATCCGCCCATTGGCGTGCCGAATATAGGTCTAAATGATGCCCAGGCATCAAGTTAAAAAGAGGTGGGTGGTTGTTGGATAATGATATGTATATAATATATGTATAATAATAATATGAATTTAAATATGGGTGAGTGGGTGGTAAACTAGACTTTGCAATTGGCATCAAAAACATTTTTATCTCTTCACTCCACTGTATCCGCCTCTATATATATATAAATATATGACGCGGACATTTATGTATATTTACTTGTAATCAGTGGCGCACATAAAATTTTTGACAAGGGTGTCGAAAATATATATTTCGAGGTACCCACCCACCCCACCAGCAAAATCTGAGTTTAGGCTTAGTATAACTCTTATTTTTAAGTGTTTTTCGTTTTTTCTTACTAACAAAGATACTAAAAATACAATTTTTTAAAATAAACCTAATATTAATTATTTTTCAATTTTCTGGGTATTAATTTATAAATTTGTATAGCATAATTTTTGGAATTGAGCCCTACTACTTATTCTCATGTAATTGATTAGTATTAAATTAAATAAATACTCATACAAGTTCACACAGAACTAGCCATCCACCAATTCTCTGAGGAATGTCAGTCGACACCACTGACCCTCCCTGTGTGCACAACTGCTTATAACTTAAGTGTGTTTATTGATCATTTTTTATTTAATACTATCACTATATGGACCATACGGTCACCACTATAGATCCTATTTTCAATATCCTATACGATCCCCAATATTTTTTGTATCCAAAAACAACAGATCATCATCATTTGGAATCATTAGTGTTCCCTCAAGTATTTTTTTGTTACTTTTGTCCCTTTTGCAATAAATTAATATAAAATAATATTTATATTATATTATATATAATATATTATATTGTGTTGACTATAGTGGTACCGTCACACTCGTGATTTTAAATTGTTCAATTTCGATTATTACGCTGCGCCCTTTATCTGTATTATATATACTGATTTACTCGGAATAGTATCACAGAATATAGTTAACACATTTCAACTGTTCCCAGAGATTTAGCAGCTATATAGGTACCTACACAACTGTTTGTACGATATAGTCACTTGAATTATATTCGACGGTATAATTATATGTTTCTACGCGTCCTGTGATTAGACAACACATCTATCTTTCTATCTATCCTGTCGTTTTATTTTATAATTTACCACCGCATTGTACATTTGTACGTACTAAATAATATATTGTTATTTTACGAATATAATTCGTATATCACTTTGAAAGGTCGTGGGAATATATATATATATATATATATATATATACGTATATGATTTCAATGGTCACACTGCACGGAGATTAATTTACATACGATTTACGTATTAGTATCTAGCAGAGGTGGGCAAAAACAAATCAAAATAAAGAATAAAAAATAAAAGCATGAATAACTAATTTATTTATGAATAAAGAACAAAATTATTCTGAATAGTGAATAAATTTATTCGTTAAAAACATGAATGATATTAATTAAATAATGATATTAAATATAAAAGTATATTTAATTTATTTTTGATAATTATTATATGTATTAATATGTATTACCTTTATATATATTATCTAAGTCTAAATAATAAGTCTATTATTATTATACATCATTATTTAGGATTTTAGTTTATTATTTAGGTATATGATTATAAGGAATAACGAATAATAATAAAAATTAAAATAATGAATAAAAATAAAAATAAATAATAAAATTAAGAATAAATCAATGAAGAATAATTTTTTATCGCAAATAATCAATCGAATAATATTTTATTCGACTAATGCCCTATTCTGGTATCTAGTCATATAGGTATACCAATTATCCAAATGAGCCATGCCTTCCTTTGCAAACAGATTTACGTATTTTTAATTTTAGTTTACTAATCAAATATACTTACAATTATTCTTATTTTTGTTTGATGCTAACATTTTTATTTCAATTTATGATGTCCTCTGCTTTCCTAATTTTAGGTTTATATTAAAATAAAAGTTTTTAATTTTCTTTTCAATTCTAAAATTAATTTTCTTAATATGCACAAATCAGATTAATTCAAAATTACTTGGACTGGGGTAAAAATTTACAAACTTTGCATACATGGTTATATTTGTAGATACTATATACTTGGTTAAAATTTGATCAAAAATTATTGTAATTAGTAAGCATTAATTTTATAATAATTTAAATATAAAATTTAATTTGTATTATGCTTTTCCGTCGTTCAATTCACTAGAAATTAATATTTATTGAACCTTGAGGTGTATCGATTCTACATTGTACCTAATTTCTTGGCAACAGCTTGAATAAAAATACCATTCTAAAAGGAGGTTAATCAATGTTTCACGACTTCTATTAAGGAGGACATAAAAAAAAAAAACACAAAAAGCTTAATGATTTTATAGTTAAGTGTTAACTATTTTATATTAATTTATTGGTAGCTTTGTTTAACAAAATTGTTTTTATTTATTTCATATAGTTTACCTATACTGGACTTACACTAGACACTAGACTTTACCTACAATGACAATTAAATTGAATTTAAAATATTAAAATCAAACAAATTATTTTACTTTTTGTTCATTAAAATTATACATTTGTATTTTTTTAAATTTAAATAAAAACAAAAAAAGGTTGTTAATGTACCTGTATGGAAATTTTAAAAAAATACAGTGTTTTAATTAATCAGTCTTTAAATTATTATCAGAATTCAACCATATTTCCAAAATATTTAAAAAAAAAATACGTATATATAAAATATGTACTTTATATATGAATATATTAAGTACTTACTCAACAGTTAATAAGTAAAATTGCATTAAAAATCATGATATTACATATGCATGTATATTGTATTCAATATCGTAAAAGTGCCTATGGCATCAATGTACTTTACTTGTTCAAATTCAATTAAAATTATTACATTGGCAGTATTACAATAATTCCAAGCTCCCATGATCATCATTCACCAATATTAAAATTATGCTTAAAATGAAACATTTATTTATTTTCTACTAAATTTTAATTATTGAAGAAAATTAAAGAATAGTATGCTACCAAAACCTGAATACCACTTAAATTATAGAATTTTTTGTAACTCCTCTCTTGAAAAATACTAGAGTCAATCTATACGATAATTATGATTTAATTATAAATATTTAAATATGATGAAGATAATGTCAATTTTTTACTTTTTTATGAATGTTATAATTAATTGTTACGGTTAACAATGTATAGCAGTAAAAAAAAAAAAGATAAACAAGGCAACCTAAATGTTTGTAATTACTAGGAATAAATAATAAGTATAAATAACTTTGTAGTCATTAGAATTAGCATTAGAATGTATGCTTTAACATAGTATTTCAATCATTTTTATTTTTTTTTTTTTGAATAATACATAGTTTTAATTTGTGATTATTTTTTTGGTAATTGCCAATTATAAAAAATAAATAAATAAATAAATAAATAAAATGTACTTTACTATTAAATATATTTGATCACCGATTTTTTGTATATTTAATTTACATATTTTTATAATTAACATAACATGAGATAATACTATTGATTTTTCAATATTTTACTCTAATATTTATCATATTTTATATTATAATAGTAAAGTTGCTCATTCACTATCTGGCGAGGACTATCGTGAACCAGAATGAGACCCCAAACTATGGTGTGTGGATAAATGGTCCGAATTAAATAAATTATTTTAGACCAAACTGGTCTAAGACCGTGGAAATGTATTCTGTATGTGGGCTCAAAGAACCGGTCCGCAGTCTAATATACAGTTTAGTGCATCTACTTTGAATACAAAATTGATTATATGAACATCACATGCAAGTGCAATTTCAAAATAAGCAGAATTTCGTTTTTTATATAATTAACTTGAATATACTAAAGCCTACTAATTAGCCTATGCTAATCAAACTAAACTATTATCTATAGATTGAGGATAAAAAGTCATCATGTTAATATCAACTATCGAGTTTATAGTGATAAAATTATTGAATAAATAATAAATAGTTTCATTGATATTCAAATTCATTGGTTTGGCTTAACGGTCTAAACCACAGTCCAAATCTGATGATTTATTGGTATTTAACACGCATGTATTCTGCTTATTTTTTATCAAGCTTATAATAAATTGTTTAGATAAAAAAAGGCGCTCTAAAATTGGTGATTAAATACCAATTATGAATTAAAATTGTTGTATTAAGCGAATTATATCTAATATTTTTTTCTTTATTATAATGTCATAATCATCAACAATAAATACTGGGCGTATATAAACCCCTAAAGTATTGTAAATTCCTTAAAAACATCTTGCTATTGAAATACACGTATGTAAACTCCCCTAAAAAAATTTTGCTACTGAATATACGTATTTAAACTCCCATAAAAACTTGATGTTAATCAATTTCGCGTATGTAAACTCCTTTAAACTTAAAATTGAAACTACCCTATAAAAAACTTCTATAGTTTAATGTTTAACATAGTTTTATGTTTAATAAAATATATTTGCAAACCTTGGTCTTCATTGTAAACCATGAGTTAATTTATCTCTGTGTAACGAATATAATGTTTCTATGTAACGAATAACCTGTAAAAAATAAATCTATTTTTGTAGAACATACTAATGCATTATGTCACTATAAAATATGAAATATTATTTTAAAACTCTACAATTTGAAATGGTGGACCATACTATAAACGTTCATAATACATATACGCAAAGGTTGAAGAACCTAGTTGAAGAATTTACTATTGCGCATTTTAGGGGAATTTACAATTGTTCTAAATACATTAGTAATCACCAATGTATGTAAAAATAGCTTGTTCTAGAATCATTTTTCGAATGCAATATTTTTAATTGCTTTCAAATTTAAGAACACCTATCTTTGTTACGTCATCATGCATTCACGTTCTTAATTTTTGATACTTATGTATTTCATTCCGATTTTAATATTGTTTAAAATTTAAAGTTTGAATTGTTAATTTAGTGGATTAATTGACGTCATAAATTATTATCGCCTATTCACCAGTTTTTTATTTGCAAAATTACAACATTGAATGACAATATAATTATATTTTTTTATATTTGGTACAGCTATAAAATTTCTATGCATTATAATGTGATTGCGTTTTTTATATTGTTGTTTCAAATAAATACTGTATAATTCGAATAAATAATACGTCATAAATTAATTTGTTCTCGTCAAATGTTATATTTGTCATATTTATTTGTTAACTATCAAAGGTTTGTGTCGTTTCATTTCTACGAATAAAAAAGCAATAATTGTTTGAATAACTCATGGTTGAAACTTTAATTCAAATACGGTGAACGAATTAAGCAAAATAAAAATTACATTTTTGTATAGCTGAAATTTGCATTGTGATTTATGTTATCAATCAACTAATGAATCTTCTACTATGATTTAATATTTAAATATACACCAAATCATAGATAATAAAGATAATATAATATAATATAGATAATATCTTTATTTTCTATGCACCAAATGAATAGATCCAGAATCAGCCGTTTTTGACGTAGAGGTCTCTATTATAAATCCTACTAAATATAGTGATAAGAATGTTGTAAAAGTAATTGTAGTTTTATCAACAACTTCTATTTAGATCCTTAATTAATTTGTTGTATACTAGTAGAAATCTGCAATGCTTCATTTATTCATATATTAACAATTTACAACAGTATAATTCGATTACGAATATCTATAGATATTATAACTTATAATGTTATAACATTAGGCCCCTAGACGACCTAGACTAGACCCTCTAGGTTAGTTCTTGGCCGTCCCTATTTTGTAGCCTATTAGCAAATTGGACAGACCTACAAGTACACAACATCAAAGTTACTTTGAATACAATAAAAACAGAATCATGAATTTAAAAAGGTTATTGATTGATAATACGAGTAATTAGGTACCGAAAATTCGAAATAAATATGGAAACTAAATTAAAAAAGATTGCATGTAAAGACATTTTTATTTAAATAGGTCGTATACGCCATTAAAATCATTGCATGTATTTCTAATTTATATTTTTGCCTATAGTGTGTTTCAACATGAAATCAACATGAAATACTTACAAAATTATGTTTATTTATTTAGTGATGGTTTTTTAAACATTGAAGAGTTCGACGGCATCTGCAAAGGACTCTTCCGTAACGACCGAGGAATTGTGTACAGTCTTGATACTAATACGCTTGAACATATATTTAACATATTTGATACGAAAAAGGTTAGTAGGATCTAACTTGTAATGAATAACAACTGAAATTATGTAAATAGTTAATAAAAACGTGCGTATTATTTTATTCCAGGATGGGTTGATCGATAGACAAGAATTCACTATGTGTTGGAACAAATGGATCAAGACGGTGAGTCAAATGAATGTGGTGATCTGAATTGATCAATTTTATAATGTATAAATATACAGTTAAATTTTCTTTTATCTAATGACCTAAAGTGGTAGGATGAAAAACAAGACATAATAACTGACATTCGCTAATCGCTATAATACTAAATTGATCGCATTATACGAGTAAATATTGATAAATATAGTGTTAATTACATATTAGTAATATATACGAGTAGTTAATTAATCGGAGCCTCACAAAACTCGGTTATTGCGTTCATATACGATTCAATTCAAATCACTTTCGACTGTACTTACTACATATATGCTATTGTTGTAAAATTAAAAATACACTGATTATTGATTTATTGTAGATTATAAGGCCTGTCAACATATTCCTCATTATAGACGTACAAAACGATTTCATATCAGGTTCATTGAACATAAGCAACTGTTCAGCACAACAGAACGGTTTGGAGGTAAGAATATAATTATTTAGTATCGGTATAAGCAGTTCCCTAAAGTTATCAGTTTTCAGGTCTACAACGCTTATCTTGTATTGTTATATAATTTATAATTATAATTATAACAGTACGTAAAAAAAAGCGATTGGATGCATATTTGAACTTTTAAATTTTGACGTCAAAATACGAAGAAAATAATGTACAACTGTACCAGTGATAATTCGTAAAAGTTGTATACTAGTATGAGGTATAAAATATGAATGAATTTCTGAAGGATATTTTGTTTTAAAATTGCAATACTGTTATATCTGTTAGTGTATTTGACAATTTTGAATGAAACTATATAATTTACACAAATTAGATTGCACCTGAAAATCTTTTTCTTCAAAAAATTTGAAACTTACGTGAGCAAAAATAACTAACATGTATTTCGCGTTTTGCTTTATCTATTTACATATATCTATCTATATATCTATATGATCTATCTATATATAGGTACATGAGAACTGCTTTTTCATAAAAGACTTTTACTTTGCAGTTTTTGTAAATAACTTAATCCTTAAAATATCATACTCATATGCGAACTTTTAATAATTATTGTAGATTATGTATCGTTATTTATTGAGAAATTATTTGATAAATTTACCATCTCCAAAAAACATTTTAAATGAGTTTCGTATGCTGATTATAATCAAACAAGTGGCTCTGAAATCAAGAACATTGACGTTGGGGATACTTTGAAAATTATAAGACATTACCACCACGTGGCTAAATAAAGAGCCTAATACAAAAAGTATTAATTAATAGACACATAAATTAATCAACCTGATAGAAAATACTAATGAGTTAGTTATATTTTTATTTATAAATCACAATTAATAATAACTCGCTGGCCCAATCATTGGGCAACTTATCTGCTACCAAAATATTTTGAGGTACGAGTATAAAGCATCTGCCCTACTTGGCCATAGGGTTCGACGTCACTATTCTGATATATATTACAAGAGCACGTGAAATTTATTTTGGGCTACAAAAATGTGTGATAAATAATATAGTTTTAATCAATTAGATTCATTGACAATGACTATAGTGTATTTATATTGTTTTCTAACGAAGCTCTTTTATTCAGGTTATTGAGCCCATCAACCGTCTGTTGGACACCGTGAATTTTGATTCTGTGTTTTATTCATATGACTGGCACCCGACCGATCACATATCATTCATCGAGAATTTGAACCTACGACCTTTAGACCCGTCGTCCCCGGTAAAAAGAAAAATTTCACCAGTTTTATAAACTATACAATTTTTTATTTATTGTCTTTAATCATACTTTTTTTGTTTTCCATTTTCGGGTAAGTAGGTCAACGTCGAAACCGCCCAATTGTACGATACCGTGGTGTTTGAAGGGTCTCCAAAAATCAAACAGCGTTTGTGGCCAAAGCACTGTGTACAGGATTCGTGGGGCGCTCAGCTCTATAAAGATTTAAAGGTACCAATTTCTGGTTATTTCGTGTTGATAACAACTATCCTATAAGGCAGAGATGAATAACTACACGAGAATGCCCTAAAAACACTATTTTTCACGCGGGGAGGGATATATGTATATTTTTAAATTTAAACATCCAGCATTCCCTTAATCACAATTAGGTTATCACTCTGGATAACTACGAATATTTGAAAATTGATAAAGAGGTCTAAAGTCTTTAAATTGATGAACATTTATTCTTTTTCTAATTCTTCAGTTCACATTTCATACAATATTATTAAAAACACGCACTCAGGAAATATAGCGCTCAAGTACCAAAAATGCCAAAATACATTTTTCTAAATAATATTCATCTTTGTTATGCTGTATGGATTATGTAAACATTTTGCTTCAAAAACATGATTAGTGTGAACTTATAGGTCGTGGACAATGCAATGAAAATATATAAAGGGACAATATCGGATGTGGATTCGTATTCGGTGTTTTGGGACAACAAAAAATTGACGCAGACCACGTTGGGCACTCAACTATCTCAGTTGAACGCTACCGATATTTACGTATGTGGATTGGCCTATGACGTTTGTGTTGGTAAGTATATTAAGCAATAAAGCTCATAGTTATTCTATATTTTCTTTTAAATGACATGTTGTGTATAAAAACAGTCGGTGCAACATATTGTTGTGTTTTTTTTTAAATATCATGTGATTACTTAACCCAGGCTTTTTATATTTTAGGTGCAACAGCAGCAGATGCATTATCAATTGGGTATCGAACAATATTGATTGACGATTGTTGTCGTGGCGTTAATTTAAATGATATAGAAAAAACAAAAAACAGTGTAATCAAAAATCATGGTGTCATTGTTCAGTCAAATGAGGTAAATAAAATGAATCTAATTAATATAATGAATAGAATTGATTTGATGTATGTATTTATGTATATTTTTTTAAGGTAAAAACAATGGTCGAAGGTCGAGATAGAAGGCCTGAACTGGGCTATAAATTGGCATTAGAAATTGAAAAATCTATGAAAAAAGATATAGAAAAAGATAAATTCAACTAAGTTTTGATGTACTTATATGATAAATCTATAAATGATAACTACTTGAGAAGTATTAATTAAGTTAAGTTATTGTCATTAAATATCAAATAATTTGTAAAATATTTTTTTTTTAGTTGTGTTGGGTTCTTGTATATAATTTAGTCAAAAATATATTATCTGAAATTATATATTGAATTGTTTGAAATAAATAGACCACATAGCCATTTTTAAGTGCACTTTTAATATATTTTATAGTATAAAAATTATATTTACAATAGAACACACGAATACAATAATATTACAGTTGTCAGGATTTAACATTCCAGTCTTATAATTTATATAAACACATTACTAATTGTTTATTAATATAATGTTTGTTTTTTTTTTTTATTATTTTACTTTCAATGCTTAAAATATTAATTCTGTTGAAGTTTTAATTTAAGGCGATTGATTTGCTTCAATAAATTAGCAACATTATGTTGCACGTTATTAAGTTGCTATGCTGACTTTCTGATAGGTTTACTCTTATCATTTTCTGATTCAAAATGGTTGAAAGTGGACCGATTTTAAAGGGTTGAGTATAGGCAATATGTTATACTCATTAGGAATTGCTGTGTGAGTGTGTGTATATAGTAACTGATCATTAATGTGCGTGAATTCCCCGAACGCGTAATTATGTTTTATCAGTAAACAGTTCAACAATAATTTTACTACCTTCACAGCGTGTATTGTATTATATCCTTGTCCAGTATTTACCACTGTTGTAATCACTTCCGTATTTATGCTCATCGACGATGAATTATTACATTCAGTTGTTACGACTTCTAATTTGTTGCACATCATATACTTAAAAAAAAATTCAGAATAAAAACCATTTTTTTTTCATTTATTAAAGTAAGATCTTTAAATTAGTAGCCAAAAAGTGGGTAGTTAATTTTCTGAATCGAATCAAATAAATGATTTATATTAACAATACATCTACCGCCATAAGTGAACCTAGTGAAAATAAATCAGAAAAGTATATTATATGATATGTAGTCTTGTAAAGTATTCGAATACAAGCATTTAAATACTTTTTGAAGTATTTATATGGTATTCTAAATATAATTTTTTTATGTATTTTTAAGTATTTTGAATACTTTTTAATTATATTTTTACTTGTATTAAAATACCATAAAGTCCGTTTTATTAATTTTAATTTATTATTTTTCAAAAAAAATTGAAAAAATTGACATCAATAAAAATAATATTGTTAAAATTAATATTAGTTGAAAACTAATATTATGTTTTGGTATAGAAAAAGTAGGTATAATAACAATGTTACCACACTAAATACCATTACATTTCATATAGTTTCTGTATTGGAATTTTTTAAGAAAACTGAAAATATAATAATTTTAAAATAGTTCCATATTAATAGTAAGTTTTTTTTTCTCTCTCACTCTCTCTTTCATAGAATTAATATTGTTTTTTATATATTGTTACAATTTTACATATAATATTTGTAATTATATTTAAGTATTAAGCTTGTAACTACTATTAGTATACATTCATACTTTTTCTGTACTCTTTTGTTCTCCGGGGCGTTATTATAATAAATAAATAACATCAAAACAAAATAAATATAACTACAATAATAATAATAAAAATATTAAATAAGTAGGTAGATACTTTAATTATTAAATATTAAACACATTAAAGGAATGAGATGAATTATACGCTGAAAATGTAAAGTCAATTTTACAACAAAAAAATCGGGGAGTGGAGGAGGGGCGTTAAATGATGTTGCTCTAGGGCATTATTGTTAGTTAGGACGGTACTATATATTATTCTAATACGAATAAGAAAATGAAAATAATTATTGTAAAAAAGTTAATAAATTTTTACTTTCAAAAATTAAATACTTTTGAAGTACTCTGAAATCTTATACGAATTAAAAAATGCCATGTTATTAAAGAATGTATAAAAAATTACAGATAGGTAACATTTTAAGTAGTTACTTTAAGAGATTTTTCCAAATATGTTTTGGAATAAAATGATAATAACATGAAAATAATAGAGAAAATTGTTTAATTATTAAAACCAGTAATAGTAACTGTTTTTAAAAGGTACAAGACAAATTATTATAAATGTAATATTCCTATATCATTAATCATTAATCATCAGTAATAGCAACATAATGTCAAATGTTCATAAAATGTGCCTAAGAAGACGAAAAAAACCGATTAGTCAAAGCAGTGGCGTATATAGATTTTCATTTCGGAGAGGGCCGATTATGTATTTGATTTTTGGGTGGAAGGGAAGGAGGAAGCACACTATTACGAAAAAAATTACTTTAACACTATGACTTCTCGACTGTTTTTACACTATCAGAGAAATAAGAAACTCAATTTTTTTTAATGATTTATTATTTTTTAAAAGTATATAAACTATATTTTAATAAACAAATTTTTTATGAGAGTCACTCAAAATTCTTAAAAGAATAAACATATTTTATAAATATAAAATTTTAAATTATCGCATAAGCAACATTCTCAATATCGCGACAAATTTTCGGAAACCCCAGCATTAAGACATATCCATGTTAAAAATAACAATCTTTAACAATGGTTTTTTTCATTTCGAAGGGGGCCCGAGCCCTCTCGGCCCCCCATAAATACGTCCCTGAGTCAAAGACAAATAACAAAAACCGTAAATAGTAAACTATTACACAAAGGTTTGTTTATTAATTTTCTTGGCAATAAATGATGATAATTTTCTTCCAAACACAATAGGGGCTTTTTAGAATTTGTCTACAGATAACTATATAAATTAACTATTAATATAAATATTATAAAGTAATAATATTTTTTTTTAATTATTTTCATTTTTACTGTTACGTAGCGAATACGATTCGCGTTGCTAATGTGATGACAAATAAACAGTATTTATTTAAATATCAAAAATTGTTATGGATATTTATTTATTTGTAATTTCAAGTTCTTAATTTTAATCTTGTGAGTGATTCTCGTACATTTTTTCAGTCCATCTCCATTAAAACATTTTTAAAATTAAAATGGCGTATACCAAGAAAACGAAATTTATTCCAGCCGTCTCCTTGAAACGACGGGACAATTTGGTGGCATCCGATTACACTAATGTTCGGAAGTTCATACCGTCTTACCAGACGAAAAATGAAAAACCAAATATGTTGTCTTTGCTATCTATGGAATACCAACAAACATGGACGAACGAGAAAAACGAATATTTGAAATCCCAAACGTCAAGAAATAATGAAAAAAAGGAGAAGAATTTGAAGCCAAAAACTAAAATAAACCAACAAAGAACCATATGTCCAAAAGTAACAGAAAAACCTGCAAAAAAAAACGACGAAATATGATCATATTCAGTCGAGGTATAAAGGAAGCCTTCACGTGTAGTTACGTGTTGAATAATTTACTATTTCAAGATAGTCTTCCGAGCATTTACACGTTATTCTTCACTATAATTTAAAAAGGTACGAACAATTCCACATTTGAGTTATGATTATTTTTCATTATGTCCTTTCGTTACCGATTTCAATGCACTATAATGAATGTTGTATGCATTGCAATTATGTATAAATAATTAAATTCAAAATATGACTAATATTTGAAATTTTTTCATCATGATGTTAAAATATTAAAATTTAAGCCACTAACTGAAAAATGTAAAATATTATAACAATTATCTTTTTTACAATCACTATCAAACAAATATTCTTTCTATGTTGATTAGAAAAGGTGATAATTACAACTTTTTATTTTAAGTTTTACCTATTAAAAAACTTTATCATTAATAATTTGAAATTCATAATGGAAAAATTACAAGTATAAAACAATAAATCGATGATTGCAGAAACGTCACAAGTTACATATTTTATGAAATTGAGTATTAGCAAAAACGTATTCTAGTCATGTGTTTCTATGCGTTGAATGTAAAAACGTCTTTAGCTCTACTTTTTTATCAGATAAATAATTAAAAGTTATCAGTGTTTTTATAGTAACGCATAAAAGCATATGACTAGTATTCATTTTTACTAATATCCAGGGACGGCGCGAGGGGGTGGGCAATAGGGGCAGTTGCCCAATCCCCCACGCCTTAAATTATAATTAAGGCCCCACGGTTCTGATTTAACTAAACTTAAAATATTTTATTAATATAAATTATAAGACCCAACATTAATTTTGCCCAGGGCCTCGCAAACTCTAGCACCGTCACTGCTAATATCTCAATTTCATAAAATATGTGATTCGATCTACAATCATCGGCTTTGATATATTTTAATATTTTAAATGTATTATTATATCATAATTGCATTGGATTTTGTGGTGCTTTCCAGTTGACTTTGAAAAGGCATAATGAAAAATAAACTAAATAATAATGAAAAGTGAAACTGGGCATTTTTTGTACACTAGTTAGTGTAAACTTCGATAATGCATTAAATTATCATCTTGATAAAGCAAATTATTCACTATGCCTGCATTACACAGTAAACACAGAGGCTTTCCTAATAGGTTTATTACATGTATATGTTACGGGTAAAGTTCAAAAATGGGTAGTTTACACAATACCCGGGTAAAGTACATCTTATTCATATGGATAGTATAATGTGTACATTATCCAGTGTGCTATAAGTTTAATTCGAAAAAAAATTATTAAGTACCTGAACTATGTATTATTAAGTTATTATTTTATAATAAAAAATGTTAAAAAATTAAATAAAGTTGTTTATTGGAATACTTTGAGGCATTTTGAGTTGCAAAATATCTCTCCAGATTTACATTTAATCGTACATTTATTTGTTAAATGATTATTTTTACGCAAACATTTTTTAAAACTTTGACCATCGAAAAAAATCGTGCATTAGCTATTTCACAAAAAGATTTTTTTGTAATCGACACTTATAAAATATTTATAAAAGTTTCATTATGATTTATTTGTTTTTATTCACATTTCTTATTTCAGATAATATGTTATAGTATTTTGATTCCTTTAAATTTACCGAATTTCCATTATTTTTATTAATTAATTTATTATAATTTCTATTTTTATGACGACAAGGTTTTTTTTTTAAAAAACTAAATGATCAAACATTAATAAACCGAACAAGTGAACTTGAAAACCAATAGCACCGTATGTAGTTTAAAATTATTATACAATATCAATGCACACGATTTAACATCATGTAGGTACAATTTCTATTTTATCGTATTTTATATTATATTAT